CTTCTGTGAAGCTGGCTTATCAGGGTCCTTGGAATCAGAGCTGAGTGGGAAGCTCACACCACTGCTGTCTGCTCAGGGTCTCTTCAAGACTGTTAAACTCTCTCTCTCTTTTTTTTTTTAGACAGAGTCTCACTCTGTTGTCCGGGCTAGAGTGCCGTGGCATCAGCCTAGCTCACAGCAACCTCAAACTCCTGGGCTCAAACGATCCTCCTGCCTCAGCCTCCCGAGTAGCTGGGACTACGGACATGTGCCACCATGCCCGGCTAATTTTTTCTATATATTTTTAATTGGCCAATTAATTTGTTTCTATTTATAGTGGAGATGGGGTCTCACTCTTGCTCAGGCTGGTTTCAAACCCCTGACCTTGAGCAATCCACCCGCCTTAGCCTCCCAGAGTGCTAGGATTACAGGTGTGAGCCACTGAGCCCGGCCCAAGGCTGTTAAACTCTCCAATAAGACAATTTAAGCCACAGGTGGTTAATCAAAGGGGCAGTTGTGCCACTGTGATCTTTCTTTTGAAAGGGGCAATTAAGTGCTGTGAGTTTTCTCCTTTTTCCCTGTTAGATAATTTATTAGCAAAGCCATCCTATCACTTAGGAGGCAACATTTCAGCTGAGAGAGCATTGAACAAGTTCTCTAGACTTGTGCCTTTTGTTCAAATTCAGTTCAAAAATATTAAGTCAAAATAATCACTAACTGAGTACCAAAAAGTTCAACCTGCCGGGCGGGTGGCTCACACCTGTAATCCTAGCACTCTGGGAGGCTGAGGCGGGCAGATTGCTCAAGGTCAGGAGTTCGAAACCAGCCTGAGCGAGACCCTGTCTCTACCAAAAATAGAAAGAAATTAATTGACCAACTAAATATATATACAAAAAAAATAAAAAAAATTAGCCGGGCATGGTGGCGCAGCTGTAGTCCCAGCTACTCGGGAGGCTGAGGCAGTAGGATTGCTGAGCCCAGGAGTTTGAGGTTGTGCTGTGAGCTAGGCTGACGCCACGGCACTCACTCTAGCCTGGGCAACAAAGTGAGACTCTGTCTCAAAAAAAAAAAAAAAGTTAGGCCTTTGAGCTTCTTAGCAAATTACAATTATTACAAACGTGCAAACAGAAAGACACTGAAATGCATTCCTATGGCACAACACAACTGAAAAGAAAATGAGTTCAACGAACTGTTGAAATTCTACGTTTTTTTCCTTCTAAACATGGGGTCTATGTTGTCCAGGAAGGCCTGGAACTTCTGCGTTCAAGCGACCCTACTGCCTCAACTTCCAAGTAGCTGGGACTACAGGTGCGCGAGACCGTGCTCAATTGCACTTCAAAATACCTCAACTTGTAAGCAAAACTATTTTCATAGCATCTCCAGTTTTAATTTGATGAATTTACATTCCAAATCCAAATATAAAGAAATCAAGAAGGGCGCGGTTTTGCAGCATCTAAATTTGGTGAAGCACTGCAAGAACTGAGGGCTTACCACCCCAGGGGTTCTGCAGGGCGTCAAGCACGGTCAGAGCAGTGGCTGCGGCCATCTCCGCCAGGCCTCAGGCCTCTTCCGGTCATGCTCAGGTCTCTTCCGGCTTCTCACCATCTCAAAAAAAAAAGGGAGAAACAGATACAGCCATTTCACAGCCATTTTCTGAAACCAGCTGGCAACAACCACTTTTTTCTGTTTTTTTTCCCCCATAAAAGCTCCAACCCACTTAACCTTGGAGCTGGAACTTTTTTCCTTTTCTTTCTTCCTTGTGCTGAGTCCTTCCCTCTCTAAGGGAAAGCAAAATAAACTTTTTTTTTTTTTGAGACAGAGTCTTGCTCTGTTGCCTGGGCTATAGTGCCGTGGTGGTGTCAGTCTAGCTCATAGTAACCTCAAACTCCTGGGCTCAAGTGATCTTCCTGCTTCAGTCTTCCAAGTAGCTAGGACTACAGGCATGTGCCACAATGTCCGGCTAATTTTCTCATTTTTTTGTAAAAATGGGGTCTTACTTCAATTGCCCAAGCTGGTCTCCAACTCGTGGCCTGAAACAATCCTCTCACCTCAGCCTCCCAAAGTGCTGGGATTACAGTCATGAGCTACTGTGCCCAGCCTGTTCATTTTTATTAATAAATTAGGTTATTTGTCTTATTGTTGAGTTATAAGAGTCCTTTATATATGCTAGACACTACAGCCTTATCAGATATATGATGTGCAAAGATTTTTCTCTCATTCTGTGAGTTACAGTTTTTCTTTCTTGAATGTCCTTTAAAGTATACATTTTTAATTTTTTTCATTTTATTTATACATCAGGAAAATTGAGACAAAATAAGTTTTTAATTTTGATGAAGCCCGATTTATCTATTTCTTTCTTTGGTTGG